TATATATATATATAAATTGTGTTCACTAAACTACTGTGACAATGATATAGTATGAAATAAATGTGCCATTATGCCATTAACATATATATATATATATATAAATTGTGTTCACTAAACTACTGTGACAATGATATAGTATGAAATAAATGTGCCATTATGCCATTAACTTACTGTGACAGATAGAACTTGCATGCATGCAGTGGTGTTTTGCCCTTGTACTGTGCATCATACTTTTCCTGTTAGCAATAGAGTCGTGCCAGTTATGTATCTAATTCTGTTTAGGGGAAATTTTTAAATTGAAATAACGTGAAATAAATTGACTTTAAGTTTTTCATTAGGACTTTCACTTTTTTCATTCCATTAGAAGTTTGGATATAGTTGGTGTCTCCTGCCCCTAAACTTTCCATATCTGGTCTCTGCATTCATCTATCTAACTTTTCTCGAGATTTGTTCACTTTTTATCTAATTGTTTTTAGTAATTCAGGAAACTTACTTTCCCTTTGAAATGATTTTCTGCAATCAAATTCGGCATTGTACCAGTTTGTTTTCTTGATGTTTTACATTGAATATTTTGCCTTTTTTGTACTCTTAAGCTAGATTGAATTTATGCCATTTTAATTTATTTATTTATATTTCAACATCATACCTACATTTATTTTGTTACACCCACATTTTGGATTTTTCACTTTAAATATAACTTTATTTTAATCATTTTTTTGGTAAGCTTTCAAATTATATAATATTTTGCAGAATACAAACATCAACTTCAGGAGGAGGGTCAGGAGGAAACACAGGTCACCACCTGAAGCAGACCTCAGTGGAGGTCGAAAGCGTTTGTGGAGTTTACTACGGATATAACACTTGTAAAAAAAGGTTTCGTGGATTGTTATTAATCAACTTCAGACATAGACAAANGTAACGTGTATATATATGTATATATTCACAGTTCATGGCAAACACAGACGTTATAGAGAAATATGTGTATGTTGCTGCATGCAGTAATAATCGAATTTATAAGTATTTTTTAATGTTTTATCCTATTACATTAGTTATTGTGAAGAATCAGATAAAGAAAGAAATGTTGCAGACAGATACCAACTCAAAAATAAAGAAAAGAGTGTGTCCAAGTGAAGATGAGGATGATACTGATGATAACTCTGACATATCCATTTCTGATATGGATAACTCGACTTTTAATTCCGGTTGGGCTGATGCAATGTCAAAAGTGCTTAGGACGAAGAGCGAAAAATTCACTATTTTAAAAAAAGCAAAAAAGGATTCTGAAATTGTTGAAAAAGCAAAGAAAGATATAGAAATTGTGAATGAAAAAGGAGAATTAATTACAGAAATTTCTAAAGAGAAGAAACAGGATGATTATAGTTCTTATCAGCATGAAAAAAAATTGTTATTGGAGCAAAAACAAAAAGTAATAAATTATATTATTGTAATTACTTTGAATTAATTTTTATTCAGACTTCTTACTAATTAAATCATTGTTTTCACAGAAATTATTATGGATAAATATGTGTCGAACAAAACCTGATATTTCAGAAAAGCAAAAAGAGAGAGCTTTGAATAGAATTGCTACTAGGTAAATAATTTGTAAATATTGTAATCTTTTTTAATAAAACAATATAAATAAAAGTAGAATTAAAAATCAAAATTATGAGGGTCATTTAAATGAAACACAATCAATGACTTTATTTAGTAGGTATAATATACTACATTACATTACAAGTAATCACCCTGATGAGTAAGGCACTTGTCCCACTGTGGCACCAGACATTCAATTCCTTGCTCATAGAACTCAGTGGGTTGATGTATGCACCATTCCCAAACTCTTCCACTTCAGTGTCTGATTGAAACTTATGCCCTTTCAGGTTCCTCAAGCTTCCCAAAAATGTGGAAGTCACACAGAGACAAGTCAGGACTGTATGCAGGATGCTGGAGTGTTTCCCACTTGAATTTCACAAGGGATTCCTGCACAGTACATGTGGTGTGAGGGCAGGCATTATCATAAAGGAGGACGACACCTTGCAAAAACAGACCAGGCCACTTGGACTTGATGGAAGCTTGTAGAGATTTTTAAAGTTTCTGTGTACCAAAACATTTATGGTGGTTCCACAGGTGGTAAACTCCATCAGTAATGTGCCTTTGCTGTTAAAGAAGAATGTCAACATCATCTTTCTCATTGTTGTCTGCAATCTCTTTGATTTCTTAGGTGATGGAGACTATCTGTGCTTTCACTGGGTGCTGTCTTTTGCTTTTGGCTGGAAATGAAAGCACCCTGTTTCATCTCCTGTAATGATTCTCTCTATGAAATGATGACTTTCATTGTGGTACCACAGCAAATGTTCCAATGACAGACCCTTGCAAAAGTTTTTTTGCACAGACGTCAAGTTGTGCGGCATCCACCAGGCACAGATCTTTTGGTACTGTAGATGCTCATGGATAATGGTGTTCACACTATCAACACTTATTCCAACCTTGGTCACCAGTGCTTCCACAGTAACTCGTCTATTATCCACTTCAGCTACTGTAACCTCATTGATCACATGATGTGCTTACCCTGGCCTGGCATCATCAGCCAATGACAATCAACCATCTCAGAAGTGCTTACTCAAATCTTTCACTGTTGGCAAACTCATATGGTTTCAATACACATTGCTCATGTGATGATATATGGCATGAGGTCCGACATCATCTGCAGTTAAAAATCACACTACTGCTCAGTGCTCAATTGTTGATGCAGCCATGCTTGAAAGTTGGACAGAGTATCTGCCTGATATGCTAAACAAATACAGCTTGTTTGTAGGTTCAGGTGACACTAGTGTGAGCTTAGTGTTTCCACCTACATTTCAAATGGTGAATGATTTGCTACACACATTCCACATTTTGATATATCCATTGAATGACCCTCATAGTTAAGATTTAAGTAATATTTTGTCATCTGTTTGTAAATTTACTATGAAAATGATATAAGTTTTCATAGTAAATTTACAAACAGATGACAAAATTTCAATAAAAGTTAAAAATGTGGTTTTTAATCTATGAAGTAATTTTAAGCTAAAATTTTAAAAGCTAAAGAATTAATTATTTTTATTTTTTAATTAATATTTCTTATTATTTTGAAAGATATTTTTGTAAAAATATAGTTATAAAACTTCAGTTTGTCATGGTTTTATGAAAACATATCAAAGAAATCTGAAATGCAGTTTTTATGGGCACTCTTGTTAATTTGAACTTTGCTTAATCCAGTTTTGTTCATTTTGGCACTAAATGTTTCAGTCAAAACAGAAATAAATTGGAGATTATTTTTTAAAAACATAATAAGGCTATAGCATGATGAATAAGCCCCATTCAGATAATGGGATGATAATTGACCCAAAAGAAAGGATTAGTGAATGATTAATTGTCAAATTTTTCACAAATTTTGAGGTTGCATATGAAAATATGATTTTTGAATTTGTCAAAATATCAGTGTTTCTTTGCATCAAATCACAAAATAAAAAGTATGTCATTATTGGAAACCAATAATGGTTTTTCCAATAATGACATACTATTTATTAGATGTATATTAGAAAATTTCCTTTTTGATTTCCTTTCCTCTTTATATAATTCCCTTAATTCTGAATAATCTCATGTAATGTTCAGTTCAGATTACTGAGAATACAATCGATAAGTATATCAAAGCCCGATATGTATATAGAAACATAACCAAAAGATTGCCTTAAATAACACTGTTTGACAAGGGTTCTATTTCTGATATTAAAATATGTGATTCTAAACCAATTTATCATGGGAAATTCAAATCTGGAAACAGAATTTTGTTGTCGGATACTTTTTGTGTAACGTGTATATATATGTATATATTCACAGTTCATGGCAAACACAGACGTTATAGAGAAATATGTGTATGTTGCTGCATGCAGTAATAATCGAACGTGACAATGATGTTGCTGGCCTAATGAAGGTGCTGAACTTCACCTACAGTTCACAGGAGTGGAGACTTTTCATAGATGCATTGAAAATAAGTCTCAAGGGTGTTTTTCTCCACAATGGAAATAAAANTAAAAATGCATTACGTAACTTATGGACAATCTCATATATTGATTCTTATAGATTTTTAAAGATCGTTATATTAGTAATTATTTAAATAGGCTACAATGAAAACTACTCAATACCTATGGAGTAATTCACTGTAACAGTGTGCCACTTCGGCTAATTTGAAAGTTGAAAATAATGTAAAATACATTTTACTGTAATAAACTGTTGTAAATATCAACATAAAAAATGAAAATTATTGCAAATCCATTTTGAATAAACGTTTACAAATTTACAGGATTTACAAGAGATTTTTAAAAATGTTTTAATCCATTTCAATATCTTATTCGTGCGCGCCATTCTCCGTAGCTCCTTGTATGTTTGTGCCTTCATCTAGTACACAATATTCTCTATCCACACGCAGTAATCTAATGGAGATAATTAGGTATTGTTCACAGTAAATTACTCTTTATTGAAAAAAGGACTCATGTTTATAAAATATATTTTTGCTCAAAATGACTTTCAAAATAAGCTCCATAAGTAACGGTGCATCCTCTTGAATCACCATGTAGATGATGAAAAAGACCACTATATAATACCTGAAATTATACTATGTACAAAAACCACTAAATACATTTTATTTTTTTGTACTTTGTCCCAGAAATACTATAATAAAATTTATGTATTTTGTTTATGGAAAAATGTTTATAACTTATTTCAATATATCAAGAAATGTTCTCAAAAGCTCTGAGCTGGCACAACTTTTATTATTATTTTTGGCTCAATGCTCTGCTGGTACTAAGATGATCTTTTTTCTATATCCAACATGAGTTTCACCAAATCCACAATGGAAATCGAAGCCATGCAGTTCATCCATAAAAAATTCTTATAGTTGCTTGCTTGGATCGATTACAGACCTCCTAAGTGGTAAACCAATGCCTTAACTGTGTCAGCCATTTGGCCATCGAACATCTTTGTATTGGAAATTATCATGTAACTTTTTCACGATAAAAAGTATTTCAGAAATGTCTTGCCAAAGTTTACAGGCTTATAACAGGGAGAAAATATGAATAAAAAAGTCGAGAGCTGTTTTGATCTGAAGCTTAAATTAGCGTGAAATTGTAGGTTTTTTTTTACTCTCCACCCTGTGGGCATTAAGTAGGCTTCTTTTTAGCAAGACCATTATAGATTTGGCCAAGCCCTCAATGGTGGGCCGGATGGTAAGGGGCGATACCCGACATATCTGGATAGACTATCCCCGAAAAATTCCTGGGTTTTCGACTCGTCGGGATTCGATCCCGGGTTTCCCAGAGCGGAGCCGAACACAAGATAGGCTTGACTAAAAGATTTTGTTAGTGTTCGCACGGCGGAAAGAATTATATATAAAAAAAATCTTTTAATCCCGTGAAAAATGTCCAAACAATAACAACTTTATAATTTTTCTTTTTTTGTATGAAATATCAAATCAGTAGTAAAGCGGTCTCTATTTTAGACGGCGATTATTTTTTCCGCCCTAGAGAAAAAGGATCAACAAAGTACAAAAATGCTTGGCTTTAAAAGTAAATTATTAATGTTTATTCAAAATTACTTTCTTTATAACATAGTAAACTATTTAAATATTTTTTAAAGCTAATTGCATAAAATTTGCAAATCATTCCAGATTCTTCTCGCTAGGATTTTTATTCGAAAAGAAGTATTTTCCCGTTTGGTAATAAATATCATCTTGTATTGCTTTATTCCAATGAATAAGATTGCTCAATTACATTTTATATGTAAATTCACTAGAATTATTTTATATTCAAATGTTAAAAAATTTTTTTTATTAAATATTTTATTATAATTCTTTACATTTCTCAGGAATTATGTGTATATGAAATGTTAGATTAAATAAACTGTAAATTAATTCAATCTGTATAACTTATACAGGGTAATCAGAATTGACCACACAATAATCATATGTGATTCCTTGTTGAAAACCAGCCCCAAATGGTGTTATTTGTTTTTCAATTAGATGTGGCATTCCAGAGATATTTGCATAAAAGGTTTACAATGTTACTTCATAATTTAGAATTTTGACTTAACTCCTTTGATACCCTTGTTCCGATTCAAATGCAACTAAGAAATCCACAAAAAATTTATTTTTTATATGAAATAATTATTTCCGTTAAACGCGAATCTGACATCCAAAAGAATTGCCAGGAAATAATTCCCACAAAATAAAAACCCCTCCAAAAAGTGTTCTTACAAAATAAAGTATATAAAAAAATAAAAATAATTTAATTATAATTTTTTTGTCCAGAAATTTTAATTAAATTAGTGTGCAATTCTTTGAAAAAAAATTGTCCAAGTTAGCAGGTGTTTTTACAAATTGGATACCCTATACTATTTGTTAGAACATAATTGATGTGCAATAATACATTTAAATAATAAGCTCTTACATCATTACTTCCAATTAGATAATAGAACGTCACATAATCACAATAGAAAATTTTTTATCATAGAAGTGACTCGATGTTGCTATTTTTTAAAATTAATTTAAAACGATTAATTTAAAATTACACCATTTGCCAAAATAAAAGTGCATTTTAAGCTAAATGTCACTGTAAATTACATCACTAAGCTAAACTATTTTTTATAGCTAACAGTTAAGCTAGCACACTATATAATTTTTAAAAAATAAGCACTCAATTTTCAATTTGGTTCCAATTCATTCTGCTAACTTTTGTCTGCCAGCTTAAAAGCCTTAAAAGTCTGCCCTTTTAAGCTGACAGACAAAAGTTAGCAGAATGAATTGATATGACAGTCTTTATAATTAATTAATAAATTAACAATGTTTAAATAATACCCAGTGTTGTGTACTATTCCAATCAAGGGAATATGCTTTACATAATTTTGAGAGAGGATGTATGCGATGTATTATGGAGCGTTATAGTTGGGATGGTAGTTGAAAAGTATAAAAATGCATTACGTAACTTATGGACAATCTCATATATTGATTCTTATAGATTTTTAAAGATCGTTATATTAGTAATTATTTAAATAGGCTACAATGAAAACTACTCAATACCTATGGAGTAATTCACTGTAACAGTGTGCCACTTCGGCTAATTTGAAAGTTGAAAATAATGTAAAATACATTTTACTGTAATAAACTGTTGTAAATATCAACATAAAAAATGAAAATTATTGCAAATCCATTTTGAATAAACGTTTACAAATTTACAGGATTTACAAGAGATTTTTAAAAATGTCTTAATCCATTTCAATATCTTATTCGTGCGCGCCATTCTCCGTAGCTCCTTGTATGTTTGTGCCTTCATCTAGTACACAATATTCTCTATCCACACGCAGTAATCTAATGGAGATAATTAGGTATTGTTCACAGTAAATTACTCTTTATTGAAAAAAGGACTCATGTTTATAAAATATATTTTTGCTCAAAATGACTTTCAAAATAAGCTCCATAAGTAACGGTGCATCCTCTTGAATCACCATGTAGATGATGAAAAAGACCACTATATAATACCTGAAATTATACTATGTACAAAAACCACTAAATACATTTTATTTTTTTGTACTTTGTCCCAGAAATACTATAATAAAATTTATGTATTTTGTTTATGGAAAAATGTTTATAACTTATTTCAATATATCAAGAAATGTTCTCAAAAGCTCTGAGCTGGCACAACTTTTATTATTATTTTTGGCTCAATGCTCTGCTGGTACTAAGATGATCTTTTTTCTATATCCAACATGAGTTTCACCAAATCCACAATGGAAATCGAAGCCATGCAGTTCATCCATAAAAAATTCTTATAGTTGCTTGCTTGGATCGATTACAGACCTCCTAAGTGGTAAACCAATGCCTTAACTGTGTCAGCCATTTGGCCATCGAACATCTTTGTATTGGAAATTATCATGTAACTTTTTCACGATAAAAAGTATTTCAGAAATGTCTTGCCAAAGTTTACAGGCTTATAACAGGGAGAAAATATGAATAAAAAAGTCGAGAGCTGTTTTGATCTGAAGCTTAAATTAGCGTGAAATTGTAGGTTTTTTTTTACTCTCCACCCTGTGGGCATTAAGTAGGCTTCTTTTTAGCAAGACCATTATAGATTTGGCCAAGCCCTCAATGGTGGGCCGGATGGTAAGGGGCGATACCCGACATATCTGGATAGACTATCCCCGAAAAATTCCTGGGTTTTCGACTCGTCGGGATTCGATCCCGGGTTTCCCAGAGCGGAGCCGAACACAAGATAGGCTTGACTAAAAGATTTTGTTAGTGTTCGCACGGCGGAAAGAATTATATATAAAAAAAATCTTTTAATCCCGTGAAAAATGTCCAAACAATAACAACTTTATAATTTTTCTTTTTTTGTATGAAATATCAAATCAGTAGTAAAGCGGTCTCTATTTTAGACGGCGATTATTTTTTCCGCCCTAGAGAAAAAGGATCAACAAAGTACAAAAATGCTTGGCTTTAAAAGTAAATTATTAATGTTTATTCAAAATTACTTTCTTTATAACATAGTAAACTATTTAAATATTTTTTAAAGCTAATTGCATAAAATTTGCAAATCATTCCAGATTCTTCTCGCTAGGATTTTTATTCGAAAAGAAGTATTTTCCCGTTTGGTAATAAATATCATCTTGTATTGCTTTATTCCAATGAATAAGATTGCTCAATTACATTTTATATGTAAATTCACTAGAATTATTTTATATTCAAATGTTAAAAAATTTTTTTTATTAAATATTTTATTATAATTCTTTACATTTCTCAGGAATTATGTGTATATGAAATGTTAGAGGGCGTTTCGATGATCATTAAACACGTGGATGGTTGGTATGGAGCTGATTAAAATTTTAAGTTGATAATTATGCCTCCAACGTTATCACCATATGATATATGGAAACACAAACTTAATAGTTGTCGATATGTGCTCGCTCCTATGGTCGATCAGAGTGAATTAGCATGGAGATTATTGAGTCGACGATATGGTGCTCAATTGGGTTTTACTCCTATGTTGCATGCTTCGGTTTTTGTTAAAGATTCACGCTATAGGAAAGATAATCTTCTTTCCAGTGAAGAGGACAGACCCCTCATTGTGCAGGTAATTTTTTTTTAATTTTTACGAAGGTGATATTTTATTCTCAATGTGTAAAAGAGATTGAGAACTAGAATCTAATTACGTCGTAATCCATTTTTATAAGATTTATTTACGATAGATGTTTTAGAGGGAAAGAGTAAAGCGCAGAGGAAAGGTATTAGATTTTAATCAATTTTTAACTAGAATTTGTAAAAAAAGTTAACAAGTACAGTAAACCTCAATCATTGTGATTTGGGAAATGGAAAAGAAAAACAGTAAATAGGGAAAACAATAGTTCCTATAAATCATAAAAAAATTATAGATATTAACAATTTAAAGATTATTTTTTGAAATATATAACAACATTATGGTATATTTAAAACACTAATTCTTTCTATGAAAATCTTTCATTGATATTTGTACAAACTTTGTGTCTCGGTTTGAAGTACACATTTTTGAGACCTAGAATGCTTTTGCAATCACTGTCACTCAAGCGACACATGTAAAAGAAGGATTTTATTTTTATCTGTGCTTTGTGCTCCTTGGAGAATTGTGGTAAATGCAAAGTTTTATACAACTCTTCCCCTTCCCTCTCCATACTTCTAGACATTGTGAGATTAGTTTCGTTTCGTTATTGTTTCTACACCACTAGTTGCCACAGGACCATCTACAGAGATATGGTCCTCAAATTTATCTTTGTGTGTGCCACTGAAAATGTCTCAGCCTTGTGAAATTATCATTGGCTGTGTTCAGCAGACTCAACAGTTATAGAGCTGTTGACTATTTTTCTGCTGAACAGTGCTACTGTAGAGGGTCTACAGTAGTGCTGTTTTGGAACATGTTTGGTATTTTAATGTCACATTTAGTAGCATCTTTCACTTATGGTACCTATTGCTACCTGAAACTGACCAATGATGGCTGCTTTTTGTTCCAATGCTTATGTCACTCATCATTCAGCAGATGTAACTACATAACAGCTACCAATTCAGCAGAGTCAACAGTTGTAACTTTGCTCGGTTACAACTATTGACTCTTTTGAATGCAGCAATTGTAATTATTAGTCGTCAAGACAACACTATTATCTGAAGACCATTTAACATAAATTCAACATCAGTATTATAAATGTGCTATGCTACAGCATTTGGCAAGTAATTTTGGTACTTACAAAGTATTGTTTTATTTGCAGACATTTCCAACTTTTTCCCAGTCTTTCCAATGTCCTATGTAAGAATATATGCATATCTCTCAATCTTTTGGAAAACTAAGATTATAAAAAAAAATTTTATTCTGGTATTTGTTTATGGATTAAACATACTTCTGACAATAAGGCAGGTGACAGATGTCAACTTAATTTTTCAACATGTAGCAAGCAATCCAGGCAGTACTAAGAAAGCAAGGCATACTTGAGCAGTATCAATTTTTTAAACTCATTCAAAATATTGAGCATTTGTTGCCTAAGCTACTAAATAATTTCTAATTTTAAAATACAATCACTGTAGGCAAATGTTAGTGAATACCATAATTTTTCAACAATTGACATGATAAATTGGTAATTTGAGGATCGACGGAAATGGGGAAAAAAGAAAGTTGTTTATATGAGGCTATTTCTGAGACCAAATAAGTCAGACAATGTATGCAGGAAAATGAAAGTACTGGTACCAGGAATGATGCAACAAGATTTCATTGTATTATTGTAAAAATATAAATTTATCTTTAAATATAAAATCTTTAAAAATGTCTAACTTCAATGCAATCTGAAATGAATAGTTAAGTGCACTGCTAGATTACATCTGACATGATGTCTTTGGCAATAAGTGTTGTTTTCTTCGAAACTAAAATAATTATTTGAACATAATTTTTACAGTATTAGAGCTTTGAATATACAGCAAATTATTGGTTTAAATGAACAACATAATAACAAATTATCTTGCTTTATATAAAATTTGAAGCTGAAGAAAATTTCAAGATAACAAAACATTCATTTTATTCTCTTGCCATAGAATCTAGAATAAATATGTATAAAATATGATATACAATGAGAATGAGAAACTCAGAAGTAATTGTCTAGACTTTAAATAAAGGCTTTAGTTAAAATGTTTCTTCAAATTCAGATTAATTCTTTACAAAATATTACTTATTTTGAGAATAAATAAGTTCCAATAAAAAAGAAAAATTAATGGACTTTGAGAATTAGGTTTAAACCATTAAAACAAAATTTTATTAATAAAAACATACTATTTTTATATGACAGAGTATGTTGAACATATTTTTAAACGTCTAAATTGTATCTTAAAGACTTATCCATATACTATGTAAGATAGTCTTATGTATATAAATATATTAATGTTTAACAAAGCAAACAAAAATATGTTCAAACATGTTGACCAAATTTCCTGTTCGATCCTCAAAAAACATCTAAATGACTTAATTTATGAACTTCAGTAGCATATTAAGTTTTGCATTTGTCTTCAAATTATAATAAATCCAATAAAATGAATATTTGAGCACATTACAACCAGTATATTAAATGTAAATCTCACTGTGATACCTATATGTTAAACTTGATCTAATTTGTAAAAATTACTCTTACTTAAATATCACATTTACAAATGTTATTAGAGACAAAAATGATTGAAAATAGAGAAATTTAGTAGTTTCATTCAATATTTAAAATTCAGCAAAGAAAATATCTTAAAGTAGCATTTAACTCATCATAGAACAAAATTTTTCATTATGTAATCATTATTTATTAATAGTCATTATATAAAATGATCATAATCCTTGTGTATATCAATCTGTAGTTAATATTAATTTGAAATGAAGCAAAATATGATAGATATATGAGTGATGATATGGGATAAAGGCACAAAAGGAAAATATTTTATAACTTGCATCATGAATGATATTAAAATCTACTGTTGACAATCAGTTTTACTTATTGTTCTTATTAATAATAATCTTGCACTAGAATTCTTAAAAAATACTAACAATACTTGGAACTAGCTACTTGCAAGTGCTAGATTTTCTACAATTAAAATTCAATTAGTCTTAACCAATTAGGAGAAGGAAAAAGAAAAACCATAATTAGCACTCCAGCAGCACACTAGTAAAGGCATACTTTCAGTTTACAATCATCTTTTATTCACATTACTGACATTATGCTAATTTAAATTCTTGTAAATTCATGAAATTTTACAATGTTAATTTGTATTCATAAATAATCTAGTTTTGAATAATCATTTATTTATTTATAAAATCATTATTTATAATTGACATTTCTGTGGAATACAATTCTAATACTATACCAACATAATTATGAAAATTAGCTAGAGTGAAACGCAAATGTTTTTCTTTGGTGAATTTTCTTGTCTTTTTTTTAATTTTTATTAAATTTTAACAGTTTTTTTAAAATTATTTATACAAATTAATTATATAAAAGTTTATTTTACAATATCTGTACAGTCTCAATGTATCTACAGCTTATATCATTTTACACAGGGCTAAAGATAATGAAAATGGAGAAGAGTTTTGACACCCATTTTGATAAGAACTCTACAGAAACCTAATTCTATTATTTTTTAAAATTCTTTCAAATGCTATCACTATTCAGAAATAAACTTTATGCTTTTTGTAGTATATTTCAAAAAAGACAATTATTTTTACAAAATTGAAATGTTTGACTCTGCTGAATCCTAACAGCTAGTAAACTGGGACACGTTGAGACAGCTAATGAATTTTATTTAAATAATTCTCAAAAGAGGATAACAGAAATAAACAGATAAATAACATGAGTAAATAAATCTTACTGTATTTAATTATTTTAATACTTCTCACCAAATAAAATCATTTTGTGACTAGTATGTATTTATCAGTTTAGGATTGTACATTTTGTGTGAAATTATTACTGTAGCATTAGCATTATTATTTGTGCTAAACTGTTACAAACATATATTGAAAGAATCATTCAGATATAATATTATATTTACCATTACAACATATTGCCCATCTGGAAGAAAAGTAACATGACTCAAAAACCAATTTTTTAGAAGAAATTTAAGTTTGATGATATAACTATGGAATTAAATTATTTGCATTTATATTATTGCATGATTCTTTGTTAACAATTATTAAAATTAAAATTACATTTGTATTTTTTTTCTTTTGGACAAATTGTTCTGTTAATTGTAAACTTTTTGGTATATTCTTTAATGATTTTAGGAGAAATATTTTTTACATTTTGCTTTTAGTTTTGTGCAAATGAACCCAATATATTCCTTGAAGCTGCACGTTTAGCCGAAGGTCACTGCGAAGCGGTCGATTTAAATCTCGGTTGTCCCCAATCCATTGCAAAAAGAGGTCATTATGGAGCCTTTTTGCAAGACGAATGGGATTTGCTTAGAAAAATGGGTAATTATTGTCATTTTAATATTGAAAAATAAATTAAATAGTTTTATATATCTCAATTAAAATTATTTATAGTTGGTGGAGCTTATCACACATTAGAGATTCCAATCACTTGTAAGATTCGTGTTTTTTCTGAAATCAACAGAACTGTGCAATATGCTCAGATGCTGGAATCTTGTGGCTGTCAGGTAATTAAATTGTTTGATTCAGTCAGAATCAAAATTCTATGACTGAAATTATATATTTTTTAGCTTCTAACAGTTCATGGTAGAACAAAGGAACAGAAAGGACCCTACACAGGTGTAGCTAGTTGGGAACACATTAAAGCTGTGAAGTATGTTTAAATATTTGTTTGATATAATATAATGATATTTTTAACCAAAGTCATTTTAAATGCAGCATTTTTTGTAGAATAATTATTTCTTACCAGACAGAATGTGAATATTCCAGTGTTTGCAAATGGAAACATTCAATACTTAGAAGATGTGGAAAAATGTCGTAGAGAGACTGGTGTTGAAGGAGTTATGACCGCAGGTATTATTTATTGAAATTCTTAAAATTTTATTCATTTTTTAAGAAATAAATTGAACATTTTTCTCTTTTATTAATATAGAAGGAAATCTTCATAATCCAGCAATTTTCAAAGGAATCAGTCCTCCTGTATGGAAAATGGCTCTGGAGTATTTAGAAATTGTCAAACAATATCCAAGTCCATTTTCTTATATTAGAGGCCATTTATTTAAACTTTTCCATCATTGGTAAGTTTTATAAATAAATGTCTAAATTTTGAGATTTCAAATGGAATTATCAGCAAAATGTGAAAAGTTTTTATTTTTATTAATTCTTGATCTTATATAAATGATACATTTTTAGTCTTACGCTTAATGAAAATAAAGATTTACGAGAAGAATTAGCAAAAGCAAGCTCTTTAAATAGATTCATTGCAGTTTCAGAACGTTTGAAAGAAAGATATGAAGTGAGTATTAACAAATAATAATACCAGTTAATGTTACTTATTATTTATTGTAATGAAATTAATTTAGTTCATATATCTTCTTATAGTTTTAAGCAAGAAACAATTCACTTCTGACACAGTTTAAATTTCCAGTCTTCATTATATCAGAATAAAAATCAAAATTGTTCCAAAACTGTTTTTAAACATAATCTTAAAACATTATTACTATTAAGCTTCTAACTTATTTATTATTAAAGTAATTCTTGTTATAATGTATGATAAGCCCCTAAATAAATAAATTAATGATAAGTAGTAATTATTATAACAAGAAATAATTTAAAAAGGTTTCTTTTATAAAATAAAGAAATAAAAAATGGAAGATAAATTTAAAGCTGTAATGTTTACAAATATTATTAAAGATATACATTTTGCATATTTCTGATTATTATTATATATTTTAATATAACATACTTAATGATCTGGTATTAAGATGTTCATTTCTAAGCCCTGCTTTGGGCATAAAGTTTGTGATTGTTAGATTTTAATGAAGATTATTATTTGAAGGTATTCCAAAAGCTGCTAGTATGATATTGCACATTACTTAATTAATTAAAAATTGAAGTTTTCTCTCTACCTTGTTGTTTTGATTTTTACTATTAATGATTAGTTTCTTTGCTCTATATTGATTTAAAATGATCATTTACAATGAAATATTTTTTAAAAATCTGTTCATTGTTATTAAGCTAAATAAAAATCAATGTGTAGTAGTAGTAGTAGTAGTAGTAGTAGTAGTAGTAGTAGTAGTAGTAGTAGTAGGTAGTAGTAGGGATAATTCTATATTTGAGAAATGTAACCAGAGAGCATGAAAGATGGAGAAAATTTAGATAAATTTGGAGAATTCAATCCATTTGTGTAGGAAGTTTAATTTATTTCAATATTGTAACATTTCTGTGTAATAGAATATTATATTTAATTAAGTTTTTTATGGTTATGTTAAAATAATATAAATTGGTTTGAACCGTTCACTTTTTAAAAACTCATATAAAAACTTTGAAATTAAAGTTTTGTAGCTCAATAATTCTTTAATCATATTAAATTTTATGTTGCAATTTTGAATAGGTAATAACAATAAAATTTAATTTTAAAAGTTTATATAATTTCTCTATGAAAGTAGTTTTCTTTGTCTATAATTAGAAATATCAATGCATTTGTTAATAGAATCCAATGTATAAAAAAAGTGTTTGATATTAGATGTATTTGATGAGTTTGACATAGTTTTTTTTTTTTTTTTTTAATTTTAAATTAACTTCTTTAGTCTTTTTTTCATTCAGTTTGAGATGCTTAGTTATTTTCATTTAATTTGAAGTCACTATCTATTAAATTTAATTGTGTTTAAAAATAATTGTATTCAATAGCACAGAATTCATTAAAGAGTTAAACAGGAAATCCTCATTAATTCGAACTCTGATAATTTGAAATTCTGTTAGTTCATAATTGTACTCTTGTTCCAGCTGTGGATATAGTGAAACATGTTAAGAAATTTGGTTAGTTCAAAATATGGCTACTTTGAAATTTGAAGTGAAAATTCTGTCTGAACTGTGATATGCATGGGTTTACTTTCTTGTTTAGATTGAAGTGTCTCCATGATGTAAGAGAACAATAGACCAAGAACAACTCTAATATGGGAACCTATTCTGAGCTCATCCGATAACTCAACGAGAGCGATACACGGGACATTTGATAAATCCCCTTAGCGAAAGACAGTTAATGAACGTTAGACAAATCTCTATTCTGTGCTCCACGTTAAGTGGGTTTTACTACGAGTAGTCGGTCAAGATGCGTCTGGATTCCATGCTATCGATAGCTGTTATGCTTTAACCAATCACAGTTTAGTTAACATTGTATTTTTGTCATGTGACTGCTACCCACTATTTTGTAAGCAAATCACATGGTTTTAGCATTGTCGTGTACCAATGCTAGTGAAATTGTTTTGTTTTAAAATGTCGAAGAAAGGCCAACAAAGCCAGCGAACTATGCAGTTGGCTCACAAAAAGACCCAGAAAGATGGCAAAAAGTAACTGAGAGCTTAGAATATAAATATATAAATATATGACTATCATTTTAATTTATACATATGCGAATGAAACCTATTTCAGAAATAATGTTCATTCTATAGCTACTTTAAATTTTAACAAGAAAGCAATTACATTAGTCATACAATATTCATAAATACTTAAGGTAATTATTTTTAAGCAACACAACAACATAGTTTATTAATCTCTCTCTCTAATTGCTCGTGAAGTAAAATCATTCTTACACCAATAGATGCCATGTTGTTTACCATTTTGTTATGTTCCTAACGGCAGCTCGAGAGTGATTGATAACAAAAGCTTAGTTATTGCATGTGGCTATCGGGACCAAAAACAAAACATACAGCTCGGAATAGTATTTTCACAGTTGATTAAACATGAATCACGTGGTTCCGATAGAAATTGGTTTTTATCGTATTTGTTAGCTTAACAATACTACTCAGAATAGATCCCTGGTCAATATGGCTTTTCCTTTCATAGTAACACATTCATCTGAAGGACGAACCAAAGTTGTATAGACCAATTAGCCAGTCCTGGAGAAGGTTTTACACAGAATCCTATCAGACTGAGTTTATTACCATCTGAAGCGGCAAGGGTTACTGCACCAGCAACAATATGGGTTCTGCCCAGACAAGTCAACCTGCAGAGCACTACATCGTGCGGTGGAATTGGTCTACTAGAATCGCCGGCAGGGTCTTCACACATTGTTCGTTTTGATGGATGTCGTGGCGTTTTCGACAACATCTGATGGCCATCCATTGTGGGTGAGTTGCAGAAGGCAGACCTGCCCTCCACCATCTTTTTGATAGTCAGGAGATTCCTGAGCAACTGAAAAGTGGAGTACGTGACTTGAATGACAAGGTACGTTTGGAAACTGGAGAGGGGTTGTCCCCAGAGATCATGCATAGGGCCCCCTCCTTTGGAATGTCCTTACTGACATGGCGCTGAGACTCGTCATGCCAGACAATGTCCAGCTGCAGGCTTACGTGGATGATCTGTTACTAGTAGTTGCAGGCACCAACAGATGTGTCATGGAGATGATGTAGCAACAAAGTGATAGAACAGCTCATTCATTGGGGACAGTCACACAAACTGTCCTTCAGCCTTGATAAATCAGAGGCCTGACGATGGCCTAGACTGGAATGTTGGTGTGACAGCCAGTATACCAGATTCGGGGAGACCCCATCAGAAGGGTGAACGAGCTCAAGTACCTCTGTGTAATCATAGTTCAGACCCACCCCATTTGAGGTATGTCTGAAACAGGACAAACCTTGCAGTAGTAGCACTATTGAGACTGGCTAGACAGAATTATGGCTTAAGTGGTGATACAATCCAGACCATCTGTAAAATGGCATTTACAGATCTGCTATGATCTGCTATGCCTGTGGTGTTTGGTGGAAAGAGTCTGCCAATGTGAAGCAGAGCAGGACACTCTTCAGTATTCAGAGGTCAACAGCCCTATGGGTAACAAGAATTTACAGAACTGTGTCCACTGATGCAGCCCTCTGCTCCTGGTGGTCAGGTAGCAATCAGCCTTTTACAGAACAACAGTAGAAGGAAAAAAGCAAGACACTGTAATCAGATGTTCCCAGCCATAAAGCTCTCATGTCAATCAGACATATGGAGCACCCACCCAAACCTGAGGGTTGGAATTGGCTGGGATGTTCATGAACTGACATTTGTAGGGCTCTAGGCTACCACATTTGGGAGACTTATTACTTTTTTGGGCTACATTCCAAGAATTCCAGTTTAATTTTTATAAAATTTATCTGGCCACCTGTGAGGTTCTCACTGGACACATGCTTTTACTTGCAGTTTATTTATATTATTGTTGTATGCATGGAAAGCTAGAACTTTTGGAGTTTAAGACTTCAAATATTTTTGATAACCATCATGTTAGAATGATTAATTAAAAATAATAATAATGAGAATGTGATTTGAAAACATTTTAGTTTTATTAACAATTAAAATTGTTCTGAATATTAAATGTTTTGGAGTTAAAAGCTATCAGTCATTAATAGAACAATGCTACACTGTTAGAACACTATTTTGATGATAAAATGAGTCTCCATAGAAAATTTTTCTGGATGCTGTTATGATAATTATTTTTAATATCAGATTTATATTTATTAATTCTTAATTTTATAAAACACTATTAACTATAGTACAATGGATTGACAGTTTGTTTTTTAAAAATATAGCTTTTTACACTAAGGTTTTGATATTTTGTTGTCAGCTCTACCATTTTCACTGTGATTCTGATGAAATTTGATACTCAATATAAAAATAAAACATGTTTCTGTTGGTTGTAAATATTTGTTTTTCAGCTATAACTTTAATTATATATGTATTTCAATATATTATAGATAAATGGAGTTGATTAATTAGTATTAAAATTAAAAATTATAATATTCCTCAAACTGAAGCATAAAACCAAAAAGGAAAGCCTGATAAAAAGGAGTTTGAAATGCATAATTACAATAATCTGTTATCAACTAATCATTGATTTTATAAATAAGTATAATTAATGTAACTTTCAGTTAAGCAATAAAAGAATGTTGTTTATAGTAAAAGTCAAATGGCTAGATACTCATGTTTTCAAAAAAAATTCCTGGTGAGCAGTGCTTCAGATTGAAATATTTCTAGGTATGAAAATGTTCTATTTCAAATTAAAAATAATAAAGTTTTCAATGTTTTTGATAAAACAATTTTAAAATTTTCAATTTAAACAATAACTTGCATATTAGTACAACACTTGAAAGATAATTATATCAGTATTTTATATGGTATAAGTCGGGGCTTCTTAAACTATGGGTCGCAAGATTTTAATGCAAAATATTGAAAATAATTTGTGAGAGTTTGAAAATGGCACGCTTTATGTGATAGGTTTCGTGAGTTGTGCTTTGTGTCACTTCTGGTGCAGTGAGACAACAATTCAGCAACACTAGTATGAACTAGTGTAGTGTTGTTGCTTTTCAGTGTATTCAGTTGTCTCTGTTCCATTGTAACACAAGATTGAACTGTGGTAATACACCATTATTGTTTTTGCAAATTTGTATATATCTTTATTTTATATTTTTTGGGTTGCGAAAAAAATCAATCATAAATGGGGTCATGAATAAAAAAAGTTTAAGACCTAGTATAAGTAATAGTGTTGAACCATCTTTTGTTAAGTATCATTCAAAATTGAGAAAATTACAGCTTAAAAAATCAAATTACAGTATTATGATAAATTATTATTTGATTTAAAATGAAATTTTCAGTCTGCTGAATGGATAAAGAATTCAGGAACTTATCACGACACACTTCCTTTTCCACCATGGATCTGTCAGCCTTATGTTCGACCAAGGTATGAAATATTATATAAGATGATGATTAATATTAAAGGATTTAATTTTTGATAAATTTTGTGTGTGTTGTTATCTTTATAAAAATATCATATTTTTAGTGTTGTAAATAAAGAAAAATACACAGAAGATATAGATACAAGAATTGATAATAGTAAAAGACAGTACCAAGATGGTCAGGAAAATTCACATCTTTCTAAGAAGAAACTGAAAAAGTTATCGAGAAATCCTAATAAAAAGTTTGAAGTTCCAAGAGAAAGATTTGTTAATTGTATGCTTTGTCCAAATCCAAAAGTAAGTATATTAATTATTGAATTGCTTTCTATTAATTTTTAAAATTATCATTGGACATTGAAAAGTAATTTAGAGATCATCACTATTTTGTAGATATAATTGTTTATCAATCTTTAATCACACAATAATTTCAACAGATGATATGCAGAATCAAACATTATTATATCTGAATCTACAAATGATATTCAAATCCCCTATATCTGTTTGATGTGTGATAGACTTAACATGGTGATCAGAATTATTTGCAATATTTATTTCCTTTTATATGTAATTGGCAACAGAAAAAATTTCTATTATTTTTTATATTTTAACAGTATTTTCATTTAATGGTCCATGTTTTATATTTTAAAAATTTTGAATTTTACACTTATTGAATATTTTCTCCTCCATATTGGAAGAGATGATACTCAATAAGTGTTTTTATTCAGACGTTTATATACAATCAAATCTAAACATCAGTTTATGACGAATATGATGGAAATAATCATTATTAATAATTAAGCATCTCATCAAGAATTTTATTAATAAAATTTCATTTTATTTTAACATCATTTTAATTCATACTGAAAAACATTTTTCAGTATAGTTTTCATCTTGTTTTTCACTTCAAGTCCAAAGACATTACTATAACAATTAGGGTGAATGATTTTTAAAATTCTTTTGCTCCATGGCATTAAGAGGGACTTTTATGATAATTTATGGATTCTTGTGTCAAATTTTATCATTGTAACCTCTTTGGTTATGCATGTAATCAACTGCAAGTTTGTTGAAAACCAACTAAATGAGGTCAGCAGTAATTTATTTATATAATTTAATCTGTGTCTACCAATACCATTTTATTAAATATTCAGAAATTCTGTATTGATTGAGAAATGGTTATATTTAATAAGAGAAAATTGTAATTATATTCTTCAATACAAGGATGTAATGATTCCATTTATAACTATCTAGTAAAACATATCAAACCATGTATCAAGAAGCCCCTTTTTTTTTTTTTTAAGTTTAAAACATTTTTGAGGATTCAACTTGAGGATCCACCTTTGGCAATAAAGCTTATGAAATAACAATGAAAGACTTAAAAAAAATCCTTTTCCAATATCACTACAGAGAAAAACACTTGAGATTGTGTTAAAAAACTTATATTTTTGTATTTGGAAAAATCTATTGTAGACAAAAAAGTAGGATTCACTATAGGATCATTTTTGTTAGGAATAGAAGTAGGGAATAACAGATTTTTGAACATTGTTATGTTTGAGATCACTAAGAATGGGAAGTTGAATTCTCCAAAACATTTCAAACTAAAAGAAAAAGGTTTCTTGATTTGATATGCTTTTACTAGATGGATGTAATTATACGTGGTCTGTCTAAAATGTTTAGTGATTGTTAGGATAACTGGAATGCGACACATGTGAGGTTGAGTATATGCATTTCCTAAACAAAACTTTTCACCTCTTTCCAGAAACTGGTGAAAAGTTTTGTTTGAATAGAAATCATCATCATTGAAAAAACTTTGATGATTATTTCTTTTTATAGGATCTGTTCAAAATGTTTGATTCTGCATATCACATGTTGAAATTATTGTGCGATTAAAGATATATCTACAAAATAATGATGATCAAACTGTTTATCTCACATATGAAATATATTATTCAAATTAATGATAATTATTTCCATTAGAAGTAATTAATGCTCTTCATCTTGTATGATTTTGATTTACTGAATTTATTATACAGTAGACCCCCCTATAACACAGTAGATACATTCCATGTTTTATGAAATTCATCTTTTACCAGTCCTTAAATACATGAGCCAATCACAGCCCGGCACGTGTGCAGTTTATGGACTATGGCTGTTTGAAAGATTTTCTCCCATAAAATTAATCGATTCTAGACTAATTTGACTCAACATTTCCAAAACATGTATAATTTTTTGGGAATAATCCATATAAACTATGCTATAAACAAAAAATTTAGGATTACTTAGGATGAGTTTGCACCGTTTGACGATGCCATTGCTTAAGCTTGTTTTCGTCGTGGAGTGGCACATCGAATGGCGAGCGCATGTTTCCTGATAACTTATTTTTTTTTTTGTGAAAAATTCGCTGAACTTTGGAGACATCATTAATATAAATATCATTTTTATGGCCGTTAAATAATAAATGGTTTTTAGTAGGTCCGCGGCTCGTTTAAACTCAACGGTTTGTGCAATATCCGCTATTGGTCTAGATTCGACCAAACCTGTCACGACACGAGTCGGCGATGACGTTTTACCGTATCATACAAGTCTCTTTTAGCATGTTTATATGAATACAATCACACTTTTTTTGCCATTATATACAAATCCGTATCACATGAACCCATTTTATAGGGGTCTTCTGTAAATATATTTAGATTTTTTCCAACATATGCCCTTCAGCTACTGTAATTTAAAGTAAAAAGAATGCATGTGTAAAATTTTATCATTTGAATGACACCTTTCAAAAATCCTTTGGCATAATTGATATATACCATACAGAAGTATAAAAATATTTAAAGATTAAAATAACAAAGAGAGAACTGCAATTTATTAATGCTGTTTTTTTTCCAATTTGTTTTCTTTCTGATGTCAATATGTTTCAAACTAAAACAAGTAAGAGTTAATCTTATTTGTTTCAATTAGTAAATTATGAGAATACAGACTATTATTTCCTGTCCTCCATCTAAGCTAACCAGCTTCATTTTAGATTGTGTCCACTCGTTACAGGTAAAATTGACCAACGCTTCAAAATATTTCAGATATTAATTATGATTAATAACTTTATTTTTGTATTCTTTCAACTGTTTTTGCTTTATTTTTAACATAAATACCATAATTAAAGTAGTTAAGTGCAAAAATGATACCAGCAACCTGTGAAAAATAGGAACAACATTCAACTGTGGATTGATCTATTTTTTGCAGGATATCTTTGGTTGGAAATATTTTACTAAATTTCTTGTATAATTCATTGAATAGTTAAATAGGAAGTAACAGCTGGAAGGCTGAGGAAGTAGAAGAGTTAAATTTTATAAATAAAATAAACAAATTTATATTTAATAAACAGTTTAAATTTTTTTTAAAGGGAATGAGATGCTGTTTTCAAATGTGTAAATCTTGTTGTCGAAATAAAACTTTTACTGAAAATCTTGAATGTATAGGTATGTATTAAATTTAATTTTCATTTTCAAAAAATTTATGTTGTGGTTTAAGCATCTGTTTTAAATATTTAAGTTTTTTTTGATGATGATTATTTCTTTTTATAGGACATAAATTTATTTTTTTAAACAAAAAGGATCGAAATGGTGAAGTTTTATTAAATACATTATTATCCAACTGTCATTCACAAGTATCTTACAGATTAAGTGGCTTAGAAGTAGATAATACGGTTAATGAATTTGACACAAAATATCCCAGTTCGACAACATTATGATTAATGTGTAACTTAGTATCAAGTGACAAATTTTATATTAAAGCTAAATCAAAATGAGTTGAAATAATTTTTTTCACAAAGTCATGTATTTTACTTTTCTGGTTGTTAAGTATACATAACAAGGGAAGGTAATGGAATTGTGTCAAATTTGACTCTTCGAATATTTTGCAAATCTCCACGTTTTGTGACCTGAACACAAAAATTCAAAAAGACAGCAAAAAATTTTGTGGATATATATATATATATACACACACAGGAATATATATATATCTGAGATAATATATATATATATATTATGTGTGTGTGTTGGAATCTGTTTCATTTATTATCTCAGGATGGGGTGAAGATAAACAAACAAAATTTGGCATGTTAGCTTGTATATAAGAGACATCGATGCTATTAAATTTTGGTTGTGAAAGGTTGAGAGGCTGGGGAGATAGAGGAGTGGTCATGTGATATATCTCGCAGGGGGTTGGACTTTATAAATGCTAACAAGTAAAATCTTCATTGTGTTTTATAAAACTCATCTCTTCCTCAAAATTAAGTCTTTTGCTATTTTATAATATAAAAACTTTTATAGATGTTTGCCACATACAATTTAGTTTTTTTTTTATTTTGATTAGTAATACAATTATTATTTTTAAAATGAAATCTCAAAGGCTGGGAAAGTTACGCAACTCATCGCTAGATTTTTTTGTTTGGTGGTTGATGGTGATGACAGTGTTCATAAACTGAAATAATTTATAGAATCTCTTGTTTGGAGGTTGTTTATTTTCAGTTCAAAGATGCATTACACATAACTGATAAAATGCAGTTTAGCATATTAAAATAATGACTTCCAAATGTATTGCACAAATATGAAGAAACTATAATCATACAAAATTAAAATTTAAAACTTTAAAAATAAAAAAAAAAATTATACCAAATTCACATCGTTAACTGAAAATTTTTCCTCCTAACTTAACTTAATAGTTCTTTGTAGAAATTTGTTTCCTACAAGATCGGATATGTATGAGGTCACTTTATCAATTTCTTCTTCTTCTTTAAAATAAAATGGGCATAAAACACAATCAAAATGATGTCTAAAACATTTTTACCTATTTATCCAAAACTAAGATAAGTCAAAAATTATCACAAACAAATTATCTGGATATTTTTAAAAGTAACAGGAAGAAATGAAAAAATTTTTTAGGATGACTTTCCATGTTGTTTTAAATACGGCACTTAATTTTTGCTATATCCTGGAAAGTTTCACGATATGGCAAACTCCGCTTGGAGTATGTTCTCAACGGTTAATTCCTGGCACTTTTATTGGTAGGTGGTTTGGATAAGGAAGGAGAACCGTTGTAGAAAATAGAACCTTCCTAGATGACTACTTGCATAATTACACTTACATATTTTTCATTTCTAGAGTCAGTCTTAACACATGATAATTCTCTATATGAATTCTTCATTAGGGACTGAAGGAAGTCAAGACACTTGACTTTGTCTAGTAGATAAAATATTGTAAATTCAGTGAATTTTATCTTTGGGCCTGTACATTTTGTGAAGTTTGAATCTGTTGATTGTTGTACTTATAATTTCCCAAATTACTATTATTTATTGGTGGGGATGTAGAAAAGATGCAGGCGGTCTGTGGTGAAGTGCCCATTTTCTCTGATGCAGACATTTTTGAAAATGCTAAAAGTGTTTCTGGAAAGTTTGGAGGTGTGGCTGGTGTATTAGCAGGAGTACACATCTGAAAATAGAGAGATTTTATTATAAATTACTGGTATGTACCTTAATAATGTATTTATTATAGAAAAAGATTAAGTAAGTATACAGGGTGTCTATTATATATCCATCTATGTAGAGACAAAAAGATCTTTCCAGTATAGTTTAGTGTCATGTGGACTGCAGCAGACAAATATTGTGTAATGCTGGGAAGATCTGTTTTGTCTCTAAACTGATATTTAAGTGGATACCATGTATATTTAGATAATCTTTTAAACAAATCAGCAATTGAAAAGCAAACAAAAACTGTATTTAATAATTACGTTAATCTATGAAATCTTACTAATGAAAAATATTTATCAATATTATCAACATTGAAGTATAAATAAATGAGATTATATTTTGAATTCATATATTTTAATATTTGTTTTGCAACTCTAAAAATTAATCTTACTAACTCAGTTTCAAACTGATAAGTTTGTTGTTAATTAATTATCAGCTATTTTACTATATATACTGTAATATCTTTCATACATACTCAAAGTTCAACAATTAATACTGCTGATTCCTAATTTGATATAAGAAACTATAAAAAGAATAATAGATTTTAAATTAAGCCTGATTCAGACCCTTCAAGAGAGCTACAATTCTCCCATGTTGAAGGATTTGTCATATACATTAAATAGTTTAATGCAGATTATAACTATGTTTACTAATCTAAATTTTACTTGTTACAGCTTTTAGTAACAATTTAAGTCACAGAATTACAAGCCAAGGTTGCCCTCTGTTTATCAGTTTAACATTTATATTGGTGCAATTATCAGGGAGTAGTGCAAAGAACATTTACTACAAAATGTGTTTTAAGAAGTTATTGAAGATAAAGAGCAATTACTTATTGTAATAACTATTATATATCATCACAATAAAAAAAACTGCAGCCTGGTAATCATATTTTAATTTAAAAATAAGCTTTCTGTATCTGGTCTCAATTTTCATTATCTAACTCTGTTCAAGATTAACAAAGGACAAAGGGAATGTATAGGTCTGCAAATTTGAAAACTGCAGCCCAACTACACTTTTATATTAATAAGAAAAATCTTTAACTAAATAGAACAAAATTTGTACTAAAAATTGACAGAGTTTTTCTATAAATGATGATGATATTGACAGGTAAACTTTTAATTTGAGGGTGCAGTTTCAAATAAGTTGATTCTTCTAGATATATTAAAAATAATTTAGTTGCATTTCAGAAGCAACTTAAGACAAGAAACAGCTAATATTTTGTAAAAATGTTGAAAGTTTTAAATTTTATGGCTTGGAAATTGGATGCTTAAATCAACACTATTAAAAAGATATAATATATATTACTATAATCAACAGTCGGATACATTTGGTTAGACCATAGCAAAATGAAGAAACTCATTAACGTTTATATAAATATAGAAGATATAACTGACACTATCACTACTTAAAGGAACAACTGGTGTTTGCAAGTTTTGAGAATGTCTATGTAAAACTCATATAATATAGGCATACCTGACTTTAAAGCACTTTTTAATTATATTAATACTTATTATTTTTGGCATTTGCTTTACTTTAAGGAAATTTTTATTTCATGCTTTTTAGGCCTAGCACTATAGTGAGTGCAATTAGTAATTTATATCTGTCATTTAATAAAAGATGAGATAAACGATTGCATCTTACATGTGAAGTTGTGATTTCCCAGAGGCTCTAGGTAACATCTACCTAACTCAATTCTTGAATAAAAATCTTGTTTATTTAGATATATTATTAGTTTTAATGATTTACTTATCATAAAAAAGAGGCATTTAAAAGAAGTGTACATTCTAATTTTACTTTTTTTTTTGGCCAGAATACAGTAAAAGAAAAAAACTTTGGGGCAGAGTGCCAAAGACGTAGGACAACTTAATTAAATACAACAATCAATTATTTATTATGACATCGTCACAATGCCAGACTGCAATTTTTAATCATATTTTTAAATTATTTACTTTAAAATATATGCTCTCTACCTCAAATTAGTAGTGGCTTGTATATCTTACTTTTTCTTTAACAGTAGTCGTATTGGTCATTAACACCTTTATTTTTGAATTGAAATAATATGACTTCCAGTTTGTATTGGAAGTTCATAAATAGTTAATGAGGGCCTCCTGCCCCTAAGGTTTCCATATCTGTTCTTGTCTTTCATCTAACTCCGTTCTCAAGATTAAAGAAAGACAGACAAACAATTGCACAGATGGATGACAGTGGAATTTATACCTTATACATCTACAATTTTTCAAATTACAGCCCAATAAATACTTTTTCCTGGAATGGAAATGCATTTTCATGCTGTAAAATACCATAGTAATGATGGAAATAAGAAACTAATAGAATTATTTTTGTTACTGAATATGAAGAGACTACAATTTTTATATAAACAGAACTAATAATAGTAATTAAACATGGAAATTTGACTCTAGTATGTATATTATTTTTTAATAGAACAGGAACTAAATCCACTTTGGGGAAAAAAATAAGTTTAAAAGTTCAATTAACCTAATTTAAAATTAACTTTTAGTATAAACGTTTTACTTAAAATAAATTTGTAATGCAGCATTTTTATTTTATAAATAATCTTTTTACCTCCCAATGCTTTGAAGAATATTTTTTTTAAATGCAGATAAAGATTTGAAAGAAAGAAAAATTTTACAGATTTTTTTTTTTTTTTAAATAACACAATTATTTGGAAAAGAAAATGTTAACTCTTTGAAGACAGAGTTCAGAAATAAGATAAATAATTTCGATTCATGTATAATGTATGAAGTTCTTTCTAAGTCCCTTAAGATGTTATTTTGATAACTTTTTTATTCTGTGCATCATATTATTTTCATCTGATATACGTATTATATAAATAAAAATTAATTCTTTCAATTAAACAGTTTTAAATTTTCTATAATAAATAAAAACTAGCAATCTATAATTTAATTATTTCTCTATTTTCTGAATTAAACAGTAACAGTAATTTCTTTACTAGCTTTCAAAAGTCTACAATTTAAATTTTACAGGATAACAAAATATATATTAAAAACCATGCAAATCTGCAGTTTTATATTGAAATCTATGAATTTCTATTCAAATGTAAAGACACATTTATAACCTAATCATATAATGCTGATATCAAGGTTACAAAGCTGCTTGCATTATGATTCATTTATGAAACAATTTAGACAATTTATTTTAAAGTCTAAGGATTTTAATTTTCAGAAATTACAAAATAAAAATTTTTCTCAACTTTGTCAGAATAATTGAAGTGTAGCAAAGAAATAAATTTGTAATTAAAGTATAATCTGAAAATAAAGTACATATTAAATTATATGATTTAATTTATTTCATTAATCACAAAGAACCTACTGGTAATAACCAAATTTATTAGGTATTTGATAACGTGATTAAATAATATAGTTTGTTTTAACGGCAAAAACATTTATAGAGAAACTATGAACTAAATAGTTAAATGAAAACATAACATTAGCTATGATGCACATCTAACTAAATTTTTAATTTAATGAGTAAACTAAAATATTTACAAAGAAATAATAAATGAAAACAGTTTAAAGAATGGATTTTGCAAGATTACCATATATGTTAACTCTCTGCCCTGTGGACACAGAGGGTCCGAGTTCAGTCGGCCCACAATGAAATGGCTGGATGGTAAGGGACAGGGCCAACATATCCAAATGGACCATGGAATTCAGATATAAATTATGTTAAAAATATTTTAGGCCTAATTCTGGAAAAATTTCAGGTATTCTACAAATTCTAAAATGGAACAGTCAAAGAACCGTTCCATCATCTAACTGTATACACATTTGCTTTGTTCCAAGCAACAAAGCAGATGTGTGTATAGTTAGATGATAAAGGCTTATGCATGGCAAATGCATTATGATTAGGGAAAAAAAAATGTATTTCTTATAATGCATCATCCACATTAATCAGTCTCAAATATTTTGAAATAGTTCTGTTTATATAGCACATCTTACAGCCTGATCTAATTTCATTTCAACATTGTTGTCCAAAGCATACGTGGAGGGCAGTGGTTCTCTGGAAAAAGATTCCCGAACAATCTTAACAAACCTGGTGCTGTGTTCATTGGGTCTTTCCTATTATGCAATGTTAGGATTGCATCTGTATGCTAAATGTGTGACCTTAATTCTTGCTACTTCCTTATATAAACTATACATGTCCTGCTTGTAGCTAATTACTGTATGGGTGGAATTAACCTCCATCTCTATCACAAATGTGTGAAAACTAACACAAATATAAGATCTATTTTGACCTAAAGAGATTTTAAAATCATTATTCAAATTTTATGTGTGCTTTTTTTCACTTGGAAGACAATTTGAAATGCCAAAAGTACTTGGATGTATTTAAATTCATCAAATAAATAAATCTAAAGCTGAAAGACAATACAATTTCTTCCTTATAACCTCCATCTCCCTGTTCCTACCAGCATTGTTATTAATGCATGGGAACAACAAAAACGAGATCATGCTGCATACTATAATGTTATACATAGATGTGTGTCAGCTGGTACTCTGCAAAATGAATTTCAGCATAAATTTATGCTCTATCCCAAGTAGTCCCTGATGATTATGGTAATTGTAAATGGTTGCATACATATCTAGGTAATTTTGTGCAAATAACCAACCCACAGTATTGTAAGCCTCTATTGTATATACTATAAAACTGCCATAGCAAAAATAAAATCTTAGTATAACATACAACACCTTATATCCTATGCCTTCAAAGTAGTCATTAAAGCATAATACTTCTTACTATGCAATCTAAAAGATACCATCTCAGTGGCGTGCAGTGACATTTGATGATAGGGAAGCTGTGCCAGCCCTGGATAAAATCATTGGAAGCATTATATGATATTTTGATGTGTAACATCCGTGAGCTAAACTGCATGAGGTTGGTGCTCTGTAAAGCGCATGTGCATGCACGAATGCTTATAATCTG